TCCGCGCGCGTTCCCAGTCCTCCTCCCAGGACCCACAAGACTCAGGAGGGGAAAGAAACACACATACATAATGAATCGTCGACTCCCAGGAAAATAGGGGAAAAGATGGGAAGTGGGGGGGAAGACAGAAACCCAGAAAATATGGGAACACACAGACACAATTAATCGTCGACTCCCAGGAAATTACAGGAAAATATGGGAAGTGGGGGGGGGAGGACAGAAGCCCAGAAGATATGGAAAATAGGGGGAATCCTCTTCTTTGTGTGTCTTTATCTGTGTGTCCCCAGGGCCCCTTCAAAGACCCACCGCCTGGGGCGGCGCGGCTTCCTCGCTACCCTTCCCAGCAGCCGGGCCTGCCCGCTGCGGCCCCCCGTGCTGCCGCTGCGGTCCTGGGCGGCTTCGCCGCTCTCCACGTTCTCCTCCTCCTCCTCCTCCTCCTCCTCCTCCTCCTCCTCGTCCTCCTCCTCGTCCTCCTCCTCCTCCTCCTCCTCCTCCTCCTCCTCCTCCTCGGCTGCTTCGCCGCTCTCCACTTTTTTTGTCCGCCTTCGCTTTCCCTTCCCCGCTCCCCGCCGGGCCCCGCTCCCTTCCCCGCTTACTCGTTTCGACTGGACGTAAGAGTGACCTTTCGCCGGAGTGACCTTTGGTGCGGGCATAAATTGGTCCCCAGATCGCCGAACGCGATGCAGTAGCAGCGTCTTGCGCGGTTGTGCTCGGTCCCCCAGCGGCCCCCCAAAAGCCGCGCACCAAAGGTCACTCTTACCCAGGGTCACTCTTGCGTGTAGCCGATCGTTCTCCCCGCCGTCCAGTCCCAGTTGGCTGATGTCACTTTGCACCCTCAGTGTAGTTTCGTCTACTCATCGCCCCTCCCCACGAATCCGGGCCCGCATTGTTGTGGCTGCTGCCGGCTGCGAGACCCTAAGCGGTCCCAGCGAGCTCGGCCAGGCATAGACGTGCGCGCTTCATTGCCTGCGCTCGATTTTCTACGCCCCGTCGCCGCGCGCGGGGCCGCGACGCCAAAAAGTGTAAGTGTGTGTGTGTGTGTCTTTTTTTTTTGTGTGTGTGTCTTTCGTGTGGGTGCGTGTGTGTCTTTGTGTGTGTGTCTTTGTGTGTGTGCGCGTGTGTGTGTGTGTGTGTGCGTGTGTGTGTGTGTGTGTGTGTGTGTGTGTGTGTGTGTCCGTGTCCGTGTCCGTGTCCGTGTCCGTGTCCGTGTCCGTGTCCGTGTCCGTGCCCGTGCCCGTGTCCGTGTCCGTGTCTGTGTTTGTGTCTGTGTTTGTGTGTGTGTTTGTGTGTGTGTTTGTCTGTGATTGCGCGTGTGTGTTTATGTGTGTGTGTGTTTATGTTTTTCTCTGTGTGTGTCTGTGTGTTTGTGTGTGTGTGTGTTTGTGTGTGTGCGTGTGTGACGAAGCGCCGTTTGCAGCGTGAGTTTTCTCGTCTTTGGCTTACCTATGAGCGTCTGGATGCGATCGCTGAGACAGCAACCGCCGCTGAATTAGCCGAGTCCCTGCAGGGTGAAGCTGGACCGCCAGACCTTGGCTGGCGTCGCTTCGGTGCCTTGCGGTCGTTGGCCTTGTTCCGACCTAGCCCCCCTCAGGGTTAGATGGCTTTTCTGTTTGTCAGGCTTTGCAGCATGCGTCCTCGCCTCGAGGGGGTCGGGCTGGCGGCGCTGAGGAAGCCTGGCCCGCTGAGGATGGGGATAGGCCACGTATTCTTGACGGTGTTGAGGACGGGGGGCGCTGACCAGACACAGATTGCGGGCGTTCTCAGGGGGTGGTCAGGGATTCTCCTCCCGAGGGACATCCCTGACCAAGCCTAGATCTCCTCCTCCTCCTCCACCTCCTCCTCCTCCTCCTCCTCCTCCTCCTCCTTGGTCTGGTTTGGGTCTGCATCTTCCTTCGACGTGGGGGATGGGGGCAGGGGACGGCCGGACGGCGCCAAGGGTACGCCTGCACCGCTCTTGGCCGGGCCGGAAAGGGGCACGGGATCGGTGCACAGCGCCCTGCCGGCCAGCCAGTCCGAGCGCCAGGCGCGCGCGCGCGCCGACCACTGGGCATCCGCAAGGGGGGTGCGAAGGTAATCGCGCCTCGCGCGTCGCGGCGTGGGCCCGAGCGGCTGCCCTTCTCCAGTGGGGGTGGCGCGAGGGCGTCGCCATCGCCAGGCGCGATGCGCCACGTCACGGTAGGGTCGGGTCGTGTTGACCAGTGGCGACCCCGTGGCCGGCGTTCAATGTTGAGCGCCCTTGGCGACCCAGAATCGGCCGATGTTGAACGATCTGACGTTTCGGAGACGGCCGATCGTCTGAGGCTGTCAGATCCCCGCTGTGTCAGAAACCAGCTCCACGGCTGGCACGGCACGAGCTTACTGTACGTGACCTGGGTTCAGGGGCAACGCTAGAGAAAGGTGGGCTCAAGGGGGGATGCATCGACCCCCAGTCGCCCACCCATCGCCGACAGGTGCTGATAGCCCACCCTGCGCATCAACGTGCGGAAGTCTCGCTTCTGAGGGCCTGTCGCCGATATATATATATATATATATATATATATATATATATATATATATATATACATATACATATAACGGCGCACCGGGTCCGGGGGCCCGGGGCCGGGACCTCGACCACAAATGTGCGCCCCGGGGGGCCCGGAGGCTCGTCGGGGCTTGCCGGAGGCCTCCCCAGTCAGACAAGACGGCCCAAGAAGCGCCCAAGACGGCCCAAGAAACTTCCAAGAGGCCTCCAAGAGGGCTCCGAGATGCTGAAGATGGCCTCCAGACGTCCAAGGACGCCCCCAAGAGGCCCCAAGAAGCCTCCAACATGCGTCCCAAGAGGGCCCCTAGACGCAAAAATTGGCCCATTCCCTTCGTAAAACGTACATTTTCAACAAAGTTGTCTTTTGGGCTTTCCGACGTTACAGGACGGCCCAAGAGGCGCCCAAGACCGCCCCAAGACGGCCCAAGAAGCTTCCAAGAGGGCCCCAGGACAGCCCAAGAGGGCCCCAAGACGGCCCAAGAGGCGCCCAAGATGGCCCAAGAGGGCCCCAAGACGGGCCCAAGAGGGGGCCCAGAGGGGGACCACGAACCGCAAGCTCGAGCCTTCCGCCCCAAGAGGCCGCCAGGAGGCCCCCAGGAGGCCCCTCAAGAGGCCCCAGGAGACCCCAGACGTCCAAGGACGCCCCCAAGAGGCTCCAAGAAGCCTCCAACATGCGTCCCAAGAGGGCCCCTAGACGCAAGAATTGGCCCATTCCCTTCGTAAAACGTACATTTTTAACAAAGTCGCCTTTTGGGCTTTCCGACGTTACAGGACGGCCCAAGAGGCGCCCAAGACCGCCCCAAGACCGCCCAAGAAGTTTCCCAGAGGGCCCCAGGACAGCCCAAGAGGGCCCCAAGACGGCCCAAGAGGCGCCCAAGATGGCCCAAGAGGGCCCCAAGACGGGCCCAAGAGGGGGGCCCAGAGGGGGACCACGAACCGCAAGCTCGAGCCTTCCGCCCCAAGAGGCCGCCAGGAGGCCCCCAGGAGGCCCCTCAAGAGGCCCCAGGAGACCCCAGACGTCCAAGGACGCCCCCAAGAGGCCCCAAGAAGCCTCCAACATGCGTCCCAAGAGGGCCCCTAGACGCAGCCCAAGAGAGGCCCAAGAAGCAAAAATCGTGCCATTCTATGGGAAAACGTATATTTTTCGCATGTTCGCCTCTTGGGCTTTCGCCGCGTCCAAGACGGCCCAAGAGGCGCCCAAGACCGCCCCAAGACGGCCCAAGAAGCTTCCAAGAGGGCCCCAGGACAGCCCAAGAGGGCCCCAAGACGGCCCAAGAGGCGCCCAAGATGGCCCAAGAGGGCCCCAAGACGGGCCCAAGAGGGGGCCCAGAGGGGGACCACGAACCGCAAGCTCGAGCCTTCCGCCCCAAGAGGCCGCCAGGAGGCCCCAAGGAGGCCCCTCAAGAGGCCCCAGGAGACCCCCAAGAGGCCCAAAGGAGGCCCCGAGAAGCCCCAAATCGGCCCCCAAAATGCTTCGAACCTGCTTCCAGGAGGCCCCCGACAGGTTCAGAGGCTCCCGAGAAGCTACGTCAAACTCCCAGCGAGCGGCCGGACGAGGCCCCCCACAAAATCACAAGAGGGTTCCAGTATTTGTATCCTTCAGCGCTCTCTGGCCTTCTTCCCCCTGCCCCCTTCCCTGCGACTTTCGTTGACTCAAGCTCGCCTCCTAGCTAGAACCTAAGCGCGCGCGAAGCGCGCGCGTGGTTCTAGTATATATATATATATATATATATATATATATAAATATATATCGGCGATGCACCGCCAATGCCACGTCGTTGTTACCCCCTCAGGAGCCGGTCATCCTCTGCCGTCCCCCCTCATCGGTGCAGTTAGCGCTTCCCCTCCACGGGCGGAGGAGGAGGAGGAGGAGGAGGAGGAGGAGGAGGAGGAGGAGGAGGAGGAGGAGGGGGAGGGGGAGGAGGAGGAGGAGGAGGGAGGAGGAGGACGAGAGGAGGAGGAGGAGGATGAGGAACGAGGCGGCGGAGGAGGAGGAGGAGAGGACGAGGAGGAGGAGGAGGAGGAGGGGAATCATTTTTCTCCGCGAACACCAACATTGATACGTGAACTTGGCCGTGCAGCGGCAGTGTAAATGTCACGGAATACCTCTGCGAGGCAGGAGGAGGGGGTGGAGAAGGAGGAGGAGGAGGAGGAGCAGGAGAAGGAGGAGGAGGAGCAGGAGGAGAAGGAGGAGGAATAGGAGGAGGGCGCCAGGTGGAGGAGGCGGAGGAGGGGAGGAAGGAATCAATGAATGAAGGGAGGAAGGAAGGAAGGAACCAATGAACGAAGATGAGGGGGAGGAGGAGGAGAGAGGAGGAGAGAGGAGTGGGAGGAGGGAGGAGGGAGGAGGGGAGATGGGGGAGGAGCAGGAGGAGGGAGGGAAGAGAGGGAGGGTAGGTGGGGAGGGAGGGAGGACGGGAGGGAGAGTGGGAAGATGGGCGCCGTCGACGCGCGTCGCCGCCCCATGACCCGCCAGGTGGCCACGCCAGGCTCGCCGCCGGCGGGGGCGCCGCGCTCGCGCCCAGTGGGCGCCGCCTCCACGCCGGGCGCGACGACGCCGGGCTCGCTGTTCCTGCAGCCGGAGGAGCGGCCTCTTCCTCCCTCGTCCTCTTCCCTGCCTCCCTCCCTCCTTTTTTTTTGTTTTTTTTACTTTTTTTTTTTTTTTTTTTTTTTTTTTTTATATCTCCGCATCCGCCCTCCCTCCTTCCCCGTTCCCTCCTCCCTCTGACTCTCCCTTCCTCCTTCCGCCTTCCTCCCTCTCCTCCCTTCCCTAATCCCTTTCCCTCCTCCCTACCTCCTCTTCCTCTCCTTCCTCTCCTCCTTCCTTCGTCGCCCCCCCCCTTCCTTCCTCTCCTCCTCCCCTCGTCCCCCTCCCTCCCTTTCCTCCTCCTCTTCCCTCCCTCCTCGCTCCCCTCCTCCCTCCTGACTCTCCCTCCTCCTCTCCCTCCCTTCCTCCTTTTCTCCCAGGGGCTCGTGGGCGGCTTTCTCGGGGCCCTCCTGGGCCGTCCTGGGCGTCCCGGGAGACTCCCGCCCCCCTTCCAGATTCTCCTCCTTCTCCTCTCGGCCTCCTCCCCCTCCTCCTCTCGCCCTCCTCTCCTCCTCCTCCTCCTCCTCGCCTCCTTCTCCTCCTTCCTCCCCTCCGCCTCCTCCTCTCTCCTCCTCCTCCTCCTCCTCCTCCTCCTCCTCCTCCGCCTCCGCCTCCGCCTCCGCCTCCGCCTCCTCCTCCCCCCCACTGCAGCGCTCCGCAGGGGCATTCGCCGCCATGCGTAGGCGGCTGGCGCGGAGGTTTCGGATCTCTTCAACACGCGCTTGTTCAGGCGCGGGCGCGCCAGGCACGGTCGCGCGCTTCGGGGGGAAGCTGATCATCCCGCCCCCTCCTCCATCGCGCTCCGACCATATTCCTCCCCTGTCCCTCCTTCCACATCCCCCATCACTGTTTTAATGAGCCATTCGCTGTTTCGCCGTATAGAAGCTTATACTGAGACATGCATGGCTTAATCTTTGAGACAATCATAAGACTACTGGCAGGATCAACCAGGTTTGTACTCAACCACTGAGCCCTGGCATGCCGAAGCATGCCAGAGACAGCAGTCTTGCACTCAAACAGTCAACCAGAGAATCCAGCAACACATGGCGACAAGCGCCAGCGCTGCAACTGATCAGAGCTTACCCTGCGACACTGACGCGCCAGGCACGAATTTGCTTTCGTTCGAGGGTGGCGTTCTTGCGGCGAAGCTGTTGCACGTGTGCCACTCGGCCTGGGCCTCCGCAGGTCGCTCGCAGGCGGCCATGGACGGATTCGTTGGAAGGCATGTGCGCAATTAGTTTTGAGTCGGGCCTGTCCCCCTACAGGGGGATTGTCGACGAAAAATAAAAGATACCCAAAAATAGTCTGGGGACTATGTTTTGAGTACTTGTTGACCTGTGTGGGGTCTTTGTAGAGTATTTTTTATCCTTTTGCACAGGGTGTCTAGAGCTCCGACTACTTAATTACGGCACGGCGCACCCCTCATCACCTACACATTCCACCAGCCAGCGCGACCCTCCATCCCCCCCCGCATCCACCCACCCACCAGCACCGACCAGCCAGTGCGCCCCTCCGCCCCGACCCCTTTATTTCGGCACGGCACACCCCTCCGCCCCGACCCCCACCAGCACCCACCAGCCAGTGCGCCCCTCCGTCCCGACCCTTTTTTATTTCGGCACGGCACACCCCTCCGCCCCGACCCCTTTATTTCGGCACGGCACACCCCCTCCCCACCCCCCACCCACCAGCCAGCGCGCCCCTCCGCCCGAACCCCTTGTGTTCGGCACGGACGCCCCCCGCCCCGACCCTTTTATTTTCGGCACGGGCGCAACCCCTTACACACCCTCCGCCCCCCCCCGCAAAAAAAAACCACCAGCCCATCGCGCCCCTCCGCCCCGACCCCTTTATATGTCGGCACGGCAAAAACACCCCGCCGCCACGCCCCTTCTTTCGGCACGGCACAACCCCCCTCCGCCTCCACGCAGCCCCAGCCAGCGCGCCCCTCTCCTAGCCCCGACTCCTTCATTTCGGCAACGGCACACCCCTTCGCCCCGACCCCTTTATTCGGCACGGCACACCCCATACTCCCCCCCCCCCCCCCCCCCCACCCCACCCACAAGCCAGTGCGCCCACGCTCCCCACCCCTTTCTTTCGGCAAGGCACACCCGGTCCGCCCCCCGACTGCTTTATTTCGGCACGGCACAACCCCCTCCGCCCCCCCCACCCACCCACCAGCCAGCGCGCCCCTCCGCCCCGACCCTTTTTCAGCCAGTGCGCCCCCTCCGCCCCGACCGCTTTTCCATTCCGGCCCGGCACACAAGGCCCCTCCGCCCCGACCCTTTTTATTCGGCACCGACAACACCCCCTCCTCCGCCTCGCCCCGCCCGCCAGCCAGCGCGCCCCTCCGCCCCGACCCCTTTATTGCGGCACGGCACATCCTTCCGCCCCGACACCTTTATTTCGGCACGGCGCACCCCCTACGCACCCCAACATCCCCACCAACCAGCCAGTGAGTCCCTCCGCCCCGGCACTTTTATTTCGGCGCGGCACGCCCCTCCGCCCCGACCTCTTTATTTCGGCACGGCACACCCCCTCCGCCTCCCCCCGCCCACCAGCCAGCGC